GCAAACCAGGGTGTTTCAACCGAATGACCTCATTCCGGTGTCTCAGCGGAGTGCAGCAGCGGTCCCGAGGCCAAGGGTCTCAGGGTCTCTGGGAGCTCTTAAAGCAATTCTCCAATTGTAAATTTTCTTAACCTTGTGGATGGTCTTCTGTCTCACATCCCAGACAAGATGATAGGCAGTCAGAATAAATTAATGTCTCCTCCCACTCATTTTTAAACACGTGGTACAAATGTTATTGTCTGTCCTGCAAAAATACACTGCTACCATTCTAAAACTTTTAACATTACCAAAATTCTGTCTGCCTTCGGCCTAGTTTCGGGTCGGATAATCAGGACTCAACTGTCTGTCATGTAATATTTTCTGTCATCACAACTTTTATACTTCCGCAAACATTGCTATCACCTTTTACTTTTCTCTTGTCTTGGGGTGGGCGGAAAATAAAAAAAATGATGAACTTCGCAAGAAGTTTTCTGGTACAGCAGCGAATCGCGGGTTGGGGCGGAATGTGATGTAACACGCTTGAGATAGCTGCTAAGAAACAGCCCAAATTTTGCGAAGATTCAGCACGGGAAGTTGTTCAAAAGAAAAAGATAAGGCTTACACAAATAGGAAATATTTTATTGAAGGCAGAATAAGACATAGATCAAACCGATGAAACAACAAAACACAGAGAGATTAAAAGAGAAGAGTGATCAGAGACAGAAGTGAAACTTCCTTCCTGAGTGGTTTCATTTCCAGTCCACGGATCGTCGCTACCCTCAGCCTCGAACACAAGGATCTACTTGTTTCGCTGCTAGCTTCTGAGTTCCAAGTGACTGACGAAATTGCAGCCTGAGGTTCGTGGCACGCCTTGGAGAGAAGAAACGTAAGGACACAAGCACTCAATCAACAATCGTCCATCCTTCAAAGCAGCACATACAAGACTGCTCCTTGCTTTGGCGTCGCCGTGGGGAGGCCAGTAGACCCACAGACAGGCTTGTTCGGTGTTAAAAAACAAAAAAAAACTTCTGAAATAGGGCTGCACAAAGTTTGGTTTGGTCGCTGTATGAGACCAGCTACACACATGAAAAGAACGCATGACGGGGCGAAAGTGTCTGTAGGTCCGTAGTATCAAAGGAATCTGACGACATTTAATACAACAGTTCCTGTTTGATAAAGGCGAATCCCAATTTTATGCAATAAGCTCCAATCAGAGTTTATAAATATTAAAAAATTGTCAGTGGAAGCACGGTTCCGGAGAATTTGACGTAAATACGTCTATACGGAAAGGAAGTTTATATATTGGCTTTATTCTAAATATTTCCTTTATACATGCTTTACAATTGAGACAAGTTTGATGAAGACATTGCTTATTCAATTTCAATTAGTTACCCTTAAAATGGGTCTGTGGCAGCTAAATGTAATGTAAAGTAATGTAATGTAATGTAATGAAATGTAATGTAAGGTAATGTAATGTAAAGTCGGAGGAAAACTCCGTGTTGCCTAGACCACGGCCTTGCCCAACACAAGTTATAAATTCGGGCACCGCCGGGAATCGAACCCGAGACCCCAGGATTACAAGGCCAGCGTTCTAACCGCTGGACCACCATGGCTGTCCAAGGCAAGGTAAGGTAAGGTAATGTAATGTAATGTTTTATAGGTAACAACAATGCCGAGTAAACAGATGACGTTTCCTAGGTAACCATCTTACACATTTTCGTCACACTTTTTTGCGGAATGACCTGACCTTAAAATATAGACGTATTTACGTCAAAAAAACTGTTCTTCATAAGAAACTGGTGCAGCCTGTTTTAATCAAAACTTTATAATTTCAGTTAAGTAGTAAACGTCTAACAACAACGGACAATCATGTACAGTGACTGGGATGACTGCAAGAAACTAGCATCAATGCCGCATGTATTCAAGACCGCAAAGAAGAAAAATAGTGTATTTCAAACTGCGGGCCACACATGAGAGCAAACGTGACAAATGACCGCTTCAGTAAGACGATATTATTAATACAGTTCACAGATGTTTACGGAAAGAACACAGTACAGCAGAGATCGTGGTGGTAATTTCCCCACGAGTCGCTGAGTAATTTCTTTCATCCAACTGTCTAAATAGGGAGGGGACAGAGTACAAACTATTCGCAGTGTGGGTGGGTTCAGCTGGCGCAGGATAAGATGCGAGTCGTGTGTATGAGAAGCTTTCGGTCCATACAAGAGGCAATTTCTTGACCGGATTAGCAATTATTAAGTCTTCGAGGAAGTTCCTGTAGTGAAGGATACGAAACTTTGTCTCGCCGACTCAGGAAGAAATGTGACATCGAGGGTGTCTGACAAAGTATCTCGGTGAGATTACCGGTTCTTATAGACCAGTGGTATTCAAAATTTTTTGTTCGCGTACCCCCAGATATAATTTCTCTTCAAATTTGTACCCCCAAAAGTTGTTGGTGTATAATTCAAGTTATACATAGTATATAATCTACATCTAAAATAAATTAAATAAATTACATTACTGATTATTCAGTGTTTATCATAACATAATATATAATTTTTTTTTTAAATTTCACGTACCCCCTAAGATGTCTTCGCGTACCCCCGGTTGAATACCACTGTTATAGACTATCTGCTTCAATATTCTTAAATTTGTGGAAGGTCTTTAGGAATCCACACTAACGTATACATTTCTGTAAGAATTAAGTCGACAGTTACGTATTTGTGTCAAGCTGTGGTTCATATAAAAAGGAGGATTTCAGAAAGTAATGTTCCTTCCGAGTCGAGGCATCTTTGGCAAACGACCTATTAATGGGTTGGACGAACAGAGTCCAACTTGTCGTCGAGATTCATTAAACACAAATGTTACTCAGGCTTGTGTTCTGAAACTTCTTCATTCGACAGAGAAAATAATTCTGATCCTTTTATTTCGAAAAATATGCAGCTAGTGTAATCTACCTCCCCCGAAACAAATAACCTACTTCATTCACACGTGCGTTTCACTGCGACGCTGAGGACTCCGGCCTTATCAAGAAAATATGTTCATAGAACAATCCGCCTGACTTGCACTTTACGAAATACAAGAAGCTTGGATGAAAGAGCATTCCGCCCGCTGATTAGACAACCAAATAGTTCTGGCGCCAACAGCAGTCTTAACGAAGTGAGCGGTCGACCGATCTGCGGGCTTATGAAGGCGACCGGTTTAAAGACAATTCACGTCGCTTCAATTCGCTTTTGCTGATGATTAACGACAAAGTATCAGCACAAACGATAGCGTAGAATTTCATCAGACGAAAAGAGCGTGGGATCAAACTTTTGTGGTGGGCTTTGTGTCTGAGAATCTCTGTAGTACGTTTCACGCTCGGTAGAGGCTCGCATCACATTTCATTGGCTTCTTAGTTCCCCATTAAAAAGTGCCTGCCTCATCACTATGAAGAAAGGAGTAAAAGGAGATACAGATAAGGTACGAAAGAAAGACAAGAATGAAATAACGGAGGGGAGTAGGAATATTTATTGCAATAATGTGACATGGATACCGCGCTGAAGCGGTGATCGTGCAAATCGATAAAATGAATGTAACTCGCTGTACTTTCTAACAATCGAAACATCCGAACACTGATGCAGTGAACAGTTTCTGAAAAAAGAATCTGGCACGAACGGTAAAGCCGAAAGACGCTATGGCGGCAACATGAAATAGCAAAGATCGCAAAACACTGACAGAAGTAAAGATCCACGTTAAATGGAGACGAGTCTGAAACGGAAGTATATTGCCATTTTACGTTACTTTGAAGCCACTGGTTAGCTCGCTTCTACCGAGTGAGTCACTGTAACACCACTCACATCATTACCAGAAGGTCCAACAGAGCGCACGCCAACCTAGACCGGGTAGTACAATGTTTCGCCACTAGATGCCGTACAACAGTAATCATGACGTCTTGGCTCGAAACTTTGAAGAATACCATACTGATGGAGAAAGCATTTGGAAAGGTGAAGCCACAACGGCTCATGGCAAAGGCCTTGTGCAACCTTATTGTGAATTTAAATCTGCTGCAGCCTTTTTAAATTAAATAACACAGTTCACAAAATGTGGTAATAGCAGTGAGATTTTGTTTAAGCGGTATCTTATTATCTCATCAGCCTATGCTGCTATGTGTTGTTAAAACGCTTATGTCTCGATAATTTTAATAATTCTCTACAACTGTTGAACTGTGCATTTCTCAGGATAGATATTTGTAAATTAAGTAAATTAAGAACGACCAAAACACATTCTGTGCCATCTTTATCAAAAAACATACATCATAAATGGCAAAAATAAATACTATCGCCAACGAATATTGTTTTCGGATCAGTCTGTACGTAGCGGCTGGGGGTGTTTTGCCGTTAGAAGGATTACGTATTCGTTCCCATCAGCACGGGGTACGAAATATACTGACGGAATGGCAAATGCGTGAGTACAGAATGAGTTTGAAAAAAGTAGTCGTATACGTCATCAGTAAAATTTTCGTCTTCAGCAACAAAATATTATCTGGAACTCATCTTCAATGACATGTTTTTCCCACTGGAGCTGTGCCAAGGTAATTCTTGACTGGCATTAAGGCTTTGACCGGGATGTTCTTTTGTTAAATCTTATGTGGTACCGCCTGATTCGACTTCTAATGGTTAAGTGAAGTGTTTTCTTCGCGGTACGGTCTGGATTCGTAAATATTATGAAGACGAGCTTCGGCTTCAAAGGGTTAACCAGCTGATTTTCGTAATGGTGAGGTGTAGTGTTTTCTTCGCGGTACGGACTGAATTCATAAATAATATTCAGACGAACTTCGGCTTCAAAGGTTTAAGGACGACATGAACCTTATTTGTTTGAAGAGCCAAAACTCAGTCGGGGCAGGACAAGTGTTAGGGTACTTCAATTTCTTTTCCATAACAGAAACAAGTTTTAAACGTCGCACAATCGCTTCACGTTACAAGAACCGGTTTTTCAAGGGGGGTGTGTGTTCACTGGTACGCGCGTGGACAGCGGTGACTTACCTCCACGTTAGGTTGGTGTAGTGCCACTTCTGGCCGTGAAGTGTGTAGCGCTTGCTGCGGAAGTGGGTGGACGCGATGTCGGGCAAGCCACACCGAGGTTTCTGCATCAACGATACAGTAGCGTCGTCCATTTCGCCCGTTGCCGGAATGCTGCCGAACGTCTGCAAGGCAGAAAGCATGACTGACACGCGAAACAAACAGCACTTGGCCGCTGCTGAATCAAATGAAACCTGCACATAGATTGGTCTTCAGAATGTATGACGACGAAAGACAGAGCGAGGGATAAGATAACGAAGGGGAATAATGAAAGAGTTAAACTTACGGATACAAATCTTATTACAATCTATCACTTCTGTAT